AAAATACAGAAACAGAAAAAATGTAATCAAATGTGATACTACAACTGAAGAACCGATTGTCCAGATGTCTGAGGACAATCTTTTAAGCTAAGTCGTAGATCATCTACTGGAATAGACAAATTATTCCCAAGTATGCTAAGGATAAGCTGCCGCTTTCGTCTAACTCGATCGGTGCTTATAAGTCCATCCGTTTCTATGAATCTAGTTACATTGGTCACATAAAGCTCGCGCTTTCCAAATACATTTAGGCATTATCCTGGATAACTGTCCAGAGGAGAATGCAAATCAGTCATAAGTTGATTTTTCAGTGCCTTTTCAATGCTGACCACGTGGCTGCACAGCAATCTGCCGTAAAGATAATCTACCAAGTCAAGGCGAAACACTTCATAAGGCGTAAGATTTCGCAACTTGTACATGGCAAAGTCACCGGTTATTCATCAACCCAAGCCAGATCTTTGTGTATAGAAGAAGGAGTGTGTTAGGTCTTTCATACAGCTATAGTCCTCATTCAAACTTTTCTCTTCTAGTTGACCATAATGAATTATTTCACGATTATCAGCTTCATTATCCCCCTTCATTCCTTCTTTTCATCTTTGCAATTATCTAGTGGAATCTTAGCTTTCTTGCATTTTATGTACATATAAGTTTCATTCTATCAAATTCCATATTTTTCTAACTACTTTATCATCTTTTGTATGATTATATTGTCTCTTCCCATCTGTATAAATCAAACTGAATACCATGCTAATAAAGCAACGCCGTCCCATGATTCAATAATAGATTGTTACAGGCTTGATTTAAGAGTAGACACGATTGTACAGCTTCAGAAAACGACATAGCTGAAAAAGAAAATTGTCTGCTATGATTTGTCTTTTCCTTTCTTTATTCAGAAACCTCAGCAGCTTCTGAATTGATGGATTTCCGTGGAGGCGTCTCTGCAAGCTTAACCATAATAAGGAGCGCAAGTAACTCAAGTTAAGATTTACGAAAAGTTCACATAACGACTGTAATCAGAAGTGGAAAGCGATGGCTAAAGAGATAGAAAAGGCAGGGGGGATAGTTAACAGTAGGCAGTTATTTACACTGGTCAAGAGAACTGCTGCAAAAAGGTCAATGATTAGTGAGACCGCAGTGGAGAAAGATGGGTCTACAATTTACGTTCAAGCAAGATAACTGGGACGTTGAATGAAACACTTTAAAAAGCAATTCAGTTGACTTCTAGGTACTTTTCCATTGCTAGCTATGCAGTCTTTTCACGAAAGGAACGTTGAAACAGGCCCTCTAAGTCTTGGAGAAGTTGAGAAGACTGCATGTGACCGGAAACGAGGAAGAGCTAGATAATCTAGTGCCGGAAGTATTTGGCAACAGTTGTCGAGGATCACTGCTTCTACTCACTGAAGTGCTAGTGAGCCTATGGGAACCAGGTATGATCTCTGTTACTGATCTCAGTCTGTAAATGTCCCAGTCTTCAAAAGAGGCGATAACTCTTCTTCTGATAACCACAAGGCAATCATTCTAGCGAACATGATATCCAAAATCCTAGGTTCTGTGACATGCGTTGAACCGCTTTTACTTCTGTTGAATCGAAAATCTTAGTGAGTCATCAGAAGAGAAGGAGAAAAAGTAGGAGGTTAGGCAAATAACGAAATGTGGTGTAACGGTTATGATAGAGACAAGGATCGGATGCATTTTCACCATTATCAAAGGTGAAAAGTATTTTGGTGGTAAATACAAAGAAATTAGCTTGGTGAACACAATATCGAGGATTCTAGGTTCCACCCAAGTGAAGAACGGAAACAGTGAATCCAAGGAAACGATGAAGGTTTCAAACCTGGTTAGTAGTGTGTCAACTAGATCCTCAATATCCCCTGGTCACGAAAGACAGATACATTTGTCGGTGCTCGACGTAAGCTCTATTTCCCGATTTGAAGACAGCATTCAACTGCATAGATCAAGGTGTCCGGTGCCAGTGTCCGTCATAAAAATTGGTGTGGGATACGTACATCACCCGTTGAAGGTTTTATGTTCGAACATCCGTTGCTGTTTTTGTTAGAGCCCACAGTGAAGTATCAGGTTAGTTGTACTTGCCAGTTGGTGCTCTTCAAGGATAAACATTCTCCATTCTTATTTACTTTCGCCGTAGACGTACTTACGGATATCTCCGTCTCGTTGACTGACTTTACAGGGAGTGATCACATAGGAAGCACTTCAGCAGACCTAGAATACACAGATGACAGAATCATGTTAGACAGAGATGCGGACAAGATGAAGAGTCTAATGGATAGATTGAGTAGCGATTTCCGAACATCTGCGATACAATTCTCGCCACCCAAATGCAAAATGTCGCCTCAGAAGTGGTATGTGTTGCCACCACGTCTAACACTAGGGAGTGAAGTGATTCGACATGTTGACCACATGACTTACCTAGGAAGTCAGACCAGCTCTTTTTGTGACCAATTAAACCTTAGGATGGACATAAAAAGGTTTAATCTGCTTTTGCCTGCCCACTCTGTCCATGGCATCACTTATATGAGCAGTCTAAATAAAATGAATACCACTGAAAGCTAATCACTGATTTTAGAAGTTTATACATCATAACACAAAGCGGGAGATTCAAGTAAGTGTGATTGGCCATAGGCAATACCATTAACTTTCAATCTATGGACCAACAAGAAATTACAAGATGAGAGTTCAGGAGAGCCGACTGAGATAAGTAAGCAAACAATGTCAGCACAGCCACATAAACAACTAATAGTAATCAGTCACTAGGATAAGAATCTAAGGCAATTTTGGAAGAAGTTGGCAGAGTTTATTTCCTGATGTTTTAACTGGCTGTGATGGTGCTTTGAATGATGCTGAAAGATTTACGATTGAACCACCAGGCTATGAGAAGGAAAAATGTTTTATATTCCTCTCCATGGGAATTATCACAATAGCAAAAACTCTTAAACTCGATGTCAATCAGCTTAAATGAAGGTAAAAGCTTCGTATATCCTTGATAAATTAAAATATGATGATAGCGGTGTCCTCTACATTTTCCAGTATGACACTGATAACCGTGTACTGGTTATCTTAGGCATATTTCTAACAACTAAATTTTTCCTACTGAGATTTATAAATTCAACGAATCTCTTTCCTTCCTTTTTGCTGCCTGTTTTAAATTCTTTCCAGGAAAAACAATATTTCCATACAAAGTTCCTAGATACTTTTCTATCTGTTATCTTACTGGGGTTACGATGAATGTGTAATATACCACTTTTTCTGATGTTATAAGTCAGTGAAAAAGAAACTCTGTTGCACCTAAGTTCTGTGCTTGGGAACACTCATCAATGTGGTGTATTTGCATTCTCAGTGGTCTTAGTCTGTATAACATCAGTAATGGATTCTAGTTTTAGAAGAATGTAAAAAGTGTATACATTCGCAACAAAATGATTCATTTTGCGCTTTCACTTACAGATACCATCCACTCATTTCTAATGTCTTAGGGAACCGAACCAGAAATTCAACACTTAGGCGTCTGAGACCGACAGCTAAAGACTCCATTAACATATGTTCAGTATTGGTTTGACCACGTAAAGACCTCTTCCATCATCGTGTTACTATAGGTAGCATTTGCAGGTTGAGGCTGTCACTGTCTCGGTATGTGTAGCACATAACCGAATTATTCAGCTAATAAATAAATATGCACAACCCAATTTATTGAATCTATTTTGTTTCCTTTGCTGGTCATTCAACTCTTTAAATTAGCCTTAATGTTTCAGCATTCCTAACATATGTAGGCGCTTTGTTGAAAGTAAAGGTGATCATATATTTTTTTACTTCTCACAGGGGTAGGTTGATAGATAAATTATGCTACCAATCAGCGTCCGGAGTAATCTGGTGAAAATCAGGTAAATGATTTCATCACGCGATAATCCTGGATAGCCTTTGTTTACTGTTCTAGGGATCAAAGGGTAAATGCTATAGAAAATTTCACTGTTTGTCACACTTTAACAGTGCTCATCTGAATCTACTTCCTTAGTTTATACAGTGATTTTGTATTTTATTGGTAGAGGGATTCATGAAGTTACACATTAAATGGTAGTTGGTGTTTCTGATCAAGCAATTACTCAGTTATATTAATTCTTGGCCAATTAGAGTCAAAAACTTTGTTAAACGAGTACCAGACAATGAGAATAGCTTGCTGAAGAGAAAACTCTTCCCAAATAGTTTAGCTGTAATGCCTTTGACTAGAGTACTGGGTGACGTGAGTTCGAATCTCGCTGGAGTTATCATTTCCGTCGAAGTTACAGAAGCACCTTATAGACGAGTATGGAAAAGCACAATCAGTTGGCTAAACCAACGAATAGAAAACTTCTATCCGATTATTGTTTCAATAAACACTTTTTTAGTTATGAAATATAAATAGCATAGCTTTTGAGGCTTCTGGAACCTAATACTATCTTTCTTAACTAATTGCCTGTTTTACATTACACAGGTTCTTAAAAAATGGCAGCTGTCGAATAAACCTACAGGCAAGGTTACACAAGGATTACCTGTATATGCATAAATAAGATATTCTCAAAAGAATATATATATATATATATATATATATATATATATATATATATATATATATATATATATATTCACTGGCAAACCCACAATGGGCTAAATAAGAATTAACAAAAAAATTAACAAATGATATAAACGTTTAAATCGTTCGCAGACAAATTTGAGTTATAACAGGCGAGCTAAAGAAGATAAAGTATTGATTTGAACAAACCTGTTTTTCGAATAATACATGCTGTACAAACAAAGATTGAGGAAAACGAATCAAAACGGACAAACAAAAGTACACAAGACAGTAAAATAAAAATTATCGAAATAAATTATGAATAGAGATCATGCATACATGCGTACATAGGTATATTGAAACTCTGAATTGATGCATTTGAACAAAATACACTATGTAAGTATACATATTCAATAAAAATGAAGTGTTAATAAACTTAGGTTTCTTAAAGCAGTGGTGATTCGTTCGGTGAGTTGTGTGTAAATACTTTTGTGGTCTGTTTATGCAGTGATTCGTTGTCAAAACAATGTTGAATGTATTTGTGATCAATTAATTTTGAATTTAGCCGGTCAACATTCATTGTAAAAGATGGTTCCACTGAAGGCATGAATGTGTCATAGCTTTTTATCTGACATGACGACAGAGAGACATTTGAACCAGACTCAAGTTGCGTTTCATATAACGCCATATAAGGATTTGCTTGAAGATACTTCATAAATTCCGTACTTTGATGATGACCTTGTAAGCATGCAATGTTTGGGAAGTAAGCAGTATGCTGTTGAATTTCCGAGGATGATTCAAACCCAGATATATCTGACTTAAAATTGTAATGCTGTACAGGGTCAGTAAATCTAGGTGGAAAAGAATCATTCGATGGATGAAATCCCGCGTAAGAAGTTGGACAGCATGAATACTGATGGATATCTTGATGGCTATTGGTTTCTTGATCTTGCCATAATTGAAATGATGTGTTATTTCTTTCGTTAGTATAGTTGACTTGATATGTAGGATAGGAGGGGTTCGAACTCATGTCTACCTGATGTACTGTGGAGTTTATTAATGTGAGAGGGTTTCTGTTAAAAGAAAGAAGGAAGGAAGTGAGAATAAGTGTGTCTATAAAGCATTATTCTCAGTTCAAGTTGAAATCATTCGGAAACCAGAAACATAAGTCTAGAATATCCAACATAACGTTGATTCTCGATTTATGCAGTAACCACTTTCACTACACTACCGTAACGTAATACACTGATTTCAGTGGAAAGAAATTTTTCCAGAAGTCTGCTGGTCATCAACATGTATTCAGTTGTATCTACGAAGATCACTAAGTGGCATTTGGCTTGTGGCTAGCCAGCACTAGAACCGAAGTTTCATCTTCCTTATTGTTTTAGACCACTCAGTGAAATGTATGTCCATATATTCGTTCCCTGCCTGGGATTTGGACGCTGTATCCAACGTTTCAACCTAACATTAGTATTCAATAGACTGTTGAATGGAAAAGTTCCAGATAAGTGTGTTAAGTTACCAGTTAAACATATTTAAATTTGAAAAATGGTGTCCTCAGGTTATGGGAGCTGATACAGGTATAACTGGGTTTACAACTATTACTCTATAACTATTAACTATGTTCTTAGAGGACTGAACTGCAAAACAAAATACGTGTAGACTGTTTCCTCCTTTTCAGGAAGAACTCTGTGGTGTGATGAACATTTAACTATTCTTCACTAAAGTAGTGAGGTCTCAGAATACAATTCCAAGTGATGAGACAAGCAGGTGGTATTGAGTGTTTAGAAGAAACAAGGCCAAGCGGTTATATTCAGGTTCGTCTACTAGACAGTTGTTGACACCTACTATCCGAAGACAAGTGATACTACACTACCGCCTTCTAACCTTAGACCCATTTGTCAAAAGTCGAGTACCAATGAGCAACAACTCCTTAACCTCAATCAAAGATAGTCTAGTTAAAAAAACTGTACAAGCAAGACTGGTCCTCTGGACAGACTGATATAGAACTGTCTTCTTGTGAACGGATTGTGCTTACAGAAGGTATGTCTAGTCTCCATACGAAAACTCCTTAGAATGATAATAAGTCAATATAACCCTAAGAACTATGCATCACTGCAATTGTCTTTCAACATTGCTCGTATGCACTGTAGCAGGATAAGTACGAAAATATATGATATAAACAATTTATTCATAGCTAGACATTAATCGACAGTTACTCAAATTAATTTCTTATCTACTTACAAATGTTCATTATAGTAATGTGATTGGTGGTCATTGATGGGGTCCCTGTTCTTTTACAAAGATAATGATAAGCAATTTTATATTAATGATGGATGGTGATTAACAGTGGGCTCCTGTCTGGGACTCATCAGCTAGATGTACTCTCCTTCTAGTGACGGATCTTGTTCCCAAAAGCTAGATAGTTGTCCACCAGGCCACCGAATCATGATAGTCACTTCTTGTGAGACGGGTGTAGTTTCTACGCTGCTACTTGTCTTGGAACAACGCCACCCACTGGGAGGCAAGTACTTCCCGTTGACGAGCCCCAAATTGGACGAAATGCCCGTCATGGTCTCCACTGCTAGCAACTATCCATCATTAATACAAATTAAACCACAGGCAATATCGAGGCATCTGCACAGGATCATATATATCAATAGATAGCGATCAGTTCCGTCCAGTGAACGAGGGGATGATACAAGTAACATAATGACAAATAGTCCATCTTGTTTATGTTGTGTTTGACGCTTATTCATTCCGTGTACATAATACTTGCTTACATTCCATTTAGTGTATCAGTTTATAGGTACCTGTTTATACACTGACTCTCTCTTATTAGAATAATCATTATTCCGTTGCTTTTCAGCTAAATCTGTCACTTATTTTACCGTAATGCAGTAAGAGTTGAATAATACAAGCTATAAAAAATGATTCTGTTTAAGTGAGTCAGTCTGATCAAATATTTTAACTGATTTTAATTATGCTTAAAGTGTATTCAGCCACCTAATACCCTACCATCTCGCTGATCGAGCATATCTAGTATAACGATATGATTGAGTTATGAAGCCTGAAATGTTTTGTCTGCCAGACATTCTGTCATATCAATAAAGATAGTTGGAGAGACATGACGTCGAAAGCAGTTAATCGTGAGACTGAAGAAAGTACAGAATTGTTCGCAGGTGAAGACTGAAGTCACACTGCCAAGTGTTTCACAGTGCAAAATGACTAGTGCATTTCCCAAGGACTAAGTAAACTCTTTAAATCACTAAATGATTACAAGTTACTGTTATAGACTATGAGTCGCGTCTGTTATGTAGGGATCATCAATACTATCTGATTGCCTCAAATTCACAAGAGTGGGTTTTCTAGTGATTGGGAAAGTCGACTTGTCAACGTCATGACAGGTTGAAACTCACCAGTTCAAATTGGAGTTCACAATGTTGCTGTACACAATTTCTTTGCTGATGACAAGGCTCTAAATGTAGGCCCTCAGTTAATTCAAACCAGCTATTTCCCAAATGCCTAAGGAAAACTATAAGTTGATAAGACTATCAGTATCAATCTGGTTCCTTCCCTAGATGCCATAATGGAAAATGAGATCTCACAATATGGAAGCTGGTGAATGTCAATTATCGATACACCTCCAGTAGTACTTGATTGCACTCTCTTCTGTCACTTGACGAAGTAAGGACTTCTAATGGCTATAGATGCTATCAGTTGAAATATCTCGGGAAGCTTATGAAACGAAGTACATGGGGACAGTATGACTCAGAGACTGTGTGCAGTCTTGTGCCTTAGGCGATTAGTCACATATTATGTAATAAGGACTTATGATGCTACCTGATTGCCCAAACCACTACAGAAGTGGATCTAGGTTTGAACTTGTAGACCATTGATTGAAAGTAGAATACTTTATCCGATGAGCCAAAGCTCATTGAGTACTGATAGGACCGTTATAATACAGATCTAACAGATCAGTTAGTTGCATTTTTGAAATGATCAACATTAATAATCGAAGTCCTAGTTTGCTTGGCATGAATCATTGAGTAGGAGTTATGAGACGGTTTGGAATGGACAACAACACACATCCAGGTCTCTCTCATTCTTACTGGTTATTTCAGGCTACTCTTGAATTTCAGTGGTAATCTTACTGAAATCTATCCACGGTTTTTTGGCGAAAAGTATAATTTTAAAACAGTTTTCATCAAGGCTAACAGTATTCAGAGAGCCAGTGGAAGTTAAAAACGTTAGAGTGACATTTTTCCTTAATATGAGGGAAATACTTCAGCATTATGACTGAATTTTATGCTATTTTGATTGATTTATTAAATGTACCTCACAGTGAAATAGCATTTTTTACCGCATACAATAACCAGACATATCTAATAATAGAATATTTTCAGTTAGTCCAGTTGCATCATGCTGTAAAGTTTTTGAATTCGGAAAATTCCAACGACCAAGTTTGTAACCCATTGTTCCTGAATAGTGTTGGGTTCAGTGTGAGACTTGAAAGTCATGAATGCAATGGCGTATACGAATTTCAGTGTCTGTGGTTGAGGATTCACAAACTAGAACGTTTAGATTATTTATTCAATTGCCTAAATGAAAAGTTTTCACCATAGACTTACTTATCATCATACTTGTTTTCGTATATTGACAATACACCTTGATGCTTTGAACTGTCATCTGTATGAACTGTGGGTTCTATAAAAGAAAAACGATCGCAATGACAAAAAGAGAGATTAAATTATCTAGACACATCTATATTCAAGTTTATAAAATTATAAACCATTTCTCTATGGTTGTCAATGCTTATTCGGTCATTGTTGATGCATATTGAAAAACAACTTTGAAATGAGGTGAGCTTATCAAAACTTTTGATATGTCGAAATACATTAAAAACAGAAAACATAGTAATTCATCGGTAAATACAAAATTACAATTTAAACGGTTGAAAAAGTAAATAAAGTCTGCATGAGGTGGTTGGTTTAGTCAAAAAGTGTCCCTCAATACTTGGTTCTGAATGGAGTTGCGTATGACACTGTCGTAACCAATGGTTTTCAGTTTAGTTAAGAAAAGGCTGGAAAGAAAAAGGCTGTTTTCTTAACTAATGATATGCGATAAAAATGTCCCCAGTGAAGTGTTCTTTACCCTCAGCCATAAACATGCTGATCATTTTCTGTCGAACCAGTTGAAAGTCTTAAAAAGCACTTTTTTTGAAACATTTCACCGTCGTTACACAAAGTACCATTTGTGAACCCTCTCAGGGGGTGTCTCACTCTTTCGAGAAGTGTTCACGTTTTCTCGGCATCAGTGTAATTGATTGTATCGAGAAGAATCTATTTCTAAATAACAAGTGACATGGGACTATTTCCTGTCACTCATCAGCTCGAAGTATCCCATATTTGAGTGATTCCCAGTGTCGTATTGATTAGCGTCAGGTCATATTGGAAATCTGATCGATAGACTCCCATAAATGCGGAGCTCTTAGGTCTTTATAGCGCCAGTGACTACCATATGAAGACTCATTCATGTGCATACTCCAGTCCCACAAGGATTAAGTCGTGATGTGAATAACTTTATGGTAAATTATCTAACCTTAGCGCTGAATGACTCCAGTTCAGATCACTGAACCAGTATCACTTCCCTCAACGCTATGGGTACGCCTTGTTAACGGGTACCAGAAGATACAAAACCTTGTCCAAGTAGGATTTCCCGATTATTTATTTCAGCCGCCTGAATACTTATGATTGCCGAATTTATGAATGACCTAAATTTAAGGGCGTTTTTATTGTTGACTACAAGCATAATAGGTTAGCCGGGCAACTGCCATCCTACTGCGATTATAAGTCTTAGGCAATAGAGTAGTTCATCCAGAATTACATAGAAACAACCTCGTCTGACGTATAAGGTTAGCTGTGTTACTTTGTCAGATCACTTGTTCATTGATTTGTCTACCTGTGAAAGTCAGTTTTAATTCCTTTTTAAAATCTCGAAACTGCCCGCCAATGTGATAGTGACATTCGATACATCTCATACGTCAGGTGGTTTTCACCCATTACTGTTGAAATCAACTCGAATTCGAAGGATAGTCCTGAGCTATACTTCATACTGCACAGATATCATACTTCGTCAACTGATTTCGATATTCACAAAGGTGGAATTACTTTCAAGCGATTGAAATTCCTGCTTTGTGGTAGTTTGTTTGAATCTGAGGTTATCATGGATATTGCCTTGACAAACCTATTTTGAATAGCTGGATTTCTGGGACCAACAAAATTTAATCAGCTGAACTAGATAAAACAGCCTACCGTAAAATTAGCGTATGATTTTGAAAATAATTACAAATTATTTGATAAGACAATAAGAAAATGTGTTACATTTGAAACGCAAGGTTCTAATGCATTTCTTGTTCCAATTAAACTATGTTTTCTCGTTGCTTCTTGCTAATTATTTGCTTCATATGATAACTAGCCATATTAGAGTAGCATTTAAACCACCAAAGCAACCGGGATCCCGTTGACAAATACTTGTCAAAGACGACGTAAATGTAATTAGCTAGTAAAAATGACTATCGAACCAGATGACATTTCACATAGTCACAATAAATTCAAATGCTAATCACATTTTGCAAACATAATTTGTACTTGACACTCTTAAAGTATTCCGTCTTCAATAATCACGTAAAACCAGAATCCACTTGAAACAGATGAGACGTTCTGTGTCTTAATCGATACTTACAATGAAGGATGCTTCCTGCAATTAGGAAGAAGGCATTGGACTGACAGGACAATCACACATCATCTTGGATTTGCATAAGTGAAGATTTGTATTTACAAGGAGTTCTTCACAGTCGTATTATCTCAAGTTTCTCTCTCTTCACATCAAAAATATCCACAACGTTAGGTAAGATGGAACTGACAATTTGTAAATGACTTACAAATTCCACAGTCCACGTTGGTTTTTCTCACAGCTGAGTAGTTTTTCAACTTCCCACCTATGATGTAAACAGGGTTTCCGCTGGAAATCACTCAGCTGGGAAGAAAAGGTGTGATCTATGACACAAAAGTGTCATGAAATACCCAAAGACAATACTACTGAACAACTTGAGTAGTTAGAAACCACCCAGGCTGATCTGTAGTATTTTCGCCAACCAGATCAGAGTGATCTAAACACTGGAGGGCAGTTTCCCACGTTTGGGACCAAGCTCATCAGCGGTGTACCCGGACAAATTCAGTTCACAGAGCCGAATCAGTTCAAACCACTTGAATCTAGCTGGCTGACTCGTATGAACTGGTATATCTGAAATGGGATAAACAGTTTGCAGATGATTTACAAATTGCATTGTCCAGATGTTATGTAAGTACAAAATAACTACACAACAATCACTTACCATAGTTAAGATCTGTTAAGGAATTCAGTGTGTAGTTAGATTTTATTGGTCTATGAGTAGACTGTAGCTGACAGTGATGGTTTTCATTAAATGATTGAAGAGAATTCAATTCCTTTGCATTATTCGCTATATTTGACGACAACAAATGACGATAATTCAAACAATAATTGGACCGCGATAGCGATAATTTAGTTAATTGATCAAAGTTATATGATTGATCGTAATTTGGTGTTGAAGGTGTGTTGATTTTGCTCAATGGAATGTTTGAACCGATTAAGTCATACGGTGTTGTTGAGGAGGAGGCATACGTTTGGACTAAATTTGAATTTGATGATTGTAGTAAATGTGAATCTGAGAACTGATGTGTGAAAGCACTACTGATATTACTATTACTACTACCACTATTATTACTGTTATTTCTTCTGTTATTGTCACTCGAATACCAAAACTCTGAGTCAGGAAATGAATGTACTGGATAGATTTTCTCATTGTTACTGTTACCACTTGTATTGTCAACGTTATTATTATTATTGTTACCAATAGTTGTTATTGAAGTTGTACTCCGGTTAAGTTTTGTAGCGCGACCACGACGTCTAACCTGTGTTGCATAATTATCTCTGGCTGACCAACCAGGATAGAGACGCTGATGAATCTCCTTTTCCTGTTTAGCTAGTTTATAGTATTTCGCTTGAGCTTCACGTGATAATGCATGCCATTTTCGACCGAGGATTTGGTTGATTGCTGCAGATTCCTTCAGTGTACACTCAGCAATCACTTGGGCACGCATCTCTTTCATGAACAGCATAAATGCATTTAATGGCTTTTTAATATGTCCATTATATTTGACTGTACGTTTGTGAGAATCAGGCTTTTCTGGAAGTTTGCTTTTTTCTTCAGCGTTTAACTTTTGCTTACTTATATTTGTGTTTAAGTAGTCACTGGATGGTTTTGTAAAGTTGTACGCAGCAAGAGCATTATTTGATTCGATAAATGTGTCTTGCTGTGGCTGTTGGTGTTGGTACTGCTCTGGTTCATGAGCATTGAAATGCCCCATATTATTGCTGATGGATTTACTGTTAATGAGACTGGTTATGCTGGATGGAGTTGATGACGCTGATAATTCACTGAACATATTTTTTGTTGTTGCTGCTGACGTAAGTGTCGATCCACAGTTTGCAGACAGTGCGCTGAAGAGCAGAAAGAAAATTGGGGTAGAAGATGTTGTCAGAATATTTTTATCTAAATGTCCTGATGTCTCCACACGATACTGAGTCACATTTCATGGTGGACTTAGTAAACACAACTTATCGTAACTTCAATTCCTTGATAAGCCACGCTGAAGATAACGCCTAGATTAGGGTTGAAAGATCTGTTCATTAAAAAATTTAATCTGAGGGATAACAAGACAAACAAAACATCCACAACCTGAGCTTAAAATTGTATACTATGGCGTCAAAGTACAACTTATTTGTTACATAGAATCAAATCAAGTACCTGGCGGCAATGGTGTCATGTAGCCTACGGATTTCAGTGTGAATTGGTTGCTTTTCAAAAGAATTTATGTTGGAGTTTACCGATTCGGTTTCAACTAACTGAGCTGTCGTCACTTCAGAATTTCGGCCCTGCAAAAATGTGTGTCTGTCGATGACAAATAACAAGGCACAACCAGGACTTTTGAACAGCATCATTGTCTAGGATGAATCAATTCCAGAACAACACTTATGAAGTCAATTCCGTTCAGTGTGTAGATCCCCCACAAATTATCTAATGTTCTACTGATTGACATGGGTGATGATACAGAACTACTCATTTCAGTCCTTAGTATACACCGTAAAGCTTTTGGATATAGATCTATATGATGGAACTGTAGTCAAATTCTATCTCTTAACTTATTCGCACATTGAATACCACAAATCGAGTCTGATAAAAAGTCTAAGCATTTCAGCGTTGTATTGAATTATGCATAAGAAAAAAAACACGAAATGAAGTGTTTTCTTTAAACCGAAATCACTTTTCTGTCACGGTCTTCTGTCGAATACTTCCACAACTTCACAAGTGATTTTTCAGTTGGCTTTAGTGAGGCAGTAGGAAATCGACGAATAATATTATATGAAAGTAAAAGGAAGCTAAGTATTAGTAGCTAGTAAAGCAAGCAAACTCTGCATTTAGTTCCCAGAAGTTGTTTAAGCTACATCATTTTAGGTCGATACTACCTTTAAAACGGTTACTAACGTTCACTTATTATTGATGTTCTAATACATCGCTTCTACACAGGCTACCTGAAAAGGACGATGATAACATCCCTGTGTACACTACTTGGTCATGTGCGCTTAGATCTGTGAGGCGGCACCACTTCACTTGAGTCTGTCAATTCAGTTTGATGACGAATGCAAACAAGTGCGACACCTAAGTAAATTAGGGTCTCCTACTGACACCACTTACATTTTGTCGGAAAACACCGCAATATGACATTGTTTACTACTCAGCAAACACAATCATTAGTGAAATACCTCAGACTCAAAGTGCTTGTCTGTCTGTCTAATGATTTTAATGCTTCCTTTGGTATACTATTTTCATACACTACTCAGCTGTAATTCTCTCACTTGGAGAACTATCCTCAGTCCTCCAGATATCTATCACTACTTCTTCCACTTAGTTCATTTATCTTCTTGTAAGGCTGTTTCTTGTCTTACTTCGTGTTTACTAAATATCTCTCTCTGGCTTCAGAAAATTTGCGCCGTTTTAGCACCAAATCTTCCCATCTTTTCAAATACATTACGTAGGCATTTTTATTACATTTTTATGATAATCTGAACCATAAAGAGACCCATTTCTTGACAACTAAAACTTCCCATTGATCATTACGCTGGCCTGAAGTGATAAGTTCATGTCAAAATTTAAGCTCTTTGAACTTGTGCCTAAATGTTTTCTGAAGTCTCCTTATGATATAACCTACTGTGTAGTGGCTTTCAGGGAAACCAGCACGCACGTTTCTTCCATCCATTGATGACCATCATCAGGCGAATTACATTCTGAAGAGACCTACGACTTCAAACTATTAGCACTTACTTGCGGCTGGAAAATGTGGTGGCTTCCTAAGCCCTTGTATAAGTTCGACCCCTAGTCTAGTACATACATATGGTTAGGCTTCTTAGGTGGACTTATTTGCTGCATTAAATTATCCAAAATATCTGCATCTATTGTCGTTTACCGCCGAATCTTTCGAGAAGTAGCTTCATATAAATCAGACAGTAATCTACAGAAACTCAACACTGTAACGCAAAAGAAACTGCCCTAACAAATTTTGACAGTGAGAAGTGGAAATACAGCTTTGTTGAAGTATTTATCACCACTTGATATTAGCTACAGAACTAGCTTTGGAATAAAAGTCAGGGAACACCAAATAACTGCTTTATCACACTCTCCAACTTCTCGCCGGCGTACATCCATGACTGGATGAAGGAACGAGCCTAAAGATGTCAAGTCTCATGGCAAGTAAACGACCATCCAACCAGTGTGTAGGAATCCAGTGGCCAACGTTTTTTCAACGTCTGTTAATTCAGGATGTTTCTTATACAGGAAGGTAATAGAGGTTTTGAACTCCTTTCATCGCTATTATTCGTATTTGTATTATTATTATTGCTTTGCTTCTTATCTGCTCGTGTGAAGTTCTTAATAAACTGTGGAAAATAACTATTAATTATTAACGCTTCTCTGTTTCAATGCCTTGCTTGAATCCTTTCACTGATTAGTGAGTTTTCTACCTCTATTATTTATAAATCTGACTAAATCCGTGTTAACTGATATTTGACGAGGCGAACTAAAGTCTAGGTACCAGTTAGAATATGTCGGTGTCCTATAGACAGTAGTTTATTCTTCGTTTTACTCTACAATCCAACATAGCTAAGCCTTCTTGTTCATTTTTGACCTCGTAAGTGAAATGGACTACCTCTACTACTGAGTTTATGTGTGAGGAAATTATCGATAAGTTCCGATTTCAACACAGTAATTGCGTCAGTCACATATCGCCACCATATCTTAGATGTAGAATTAAACGATCGTAAAGCCATGATTTCGCTATCGTCCATAAATATATCTGCTACGATTGAGGATATTGGCGATCCCCTTGCTACTCCTTCTGTTTGTCTATCTCATGACAAAATATATAGACGCAGAAATTTAGGATGTTGCATAACCTGAGTCGTTAACTAATTCGGGTTTGAAGAAAGACATTCACCACTGCATTCCGGTCAGCTACTTGAATGATATGAAAATTCTTAATAGGGACTTTACAAACTTTGAATATCGGTTAACAAGTAAACAATCTAACAAAGAGAGAGATCATTTCAAATTCATCTAACTGTTCAATGTTGCAGGTTAAGTGTTAAATTCACTTACCTTTTTGAAAGTTTTATTGTATTCCCTAGGAACTGTGAATTCCATTTCATATCACATTCTTCAAACGGACTCTTAAGCCAAGCTTGTAATTTGTCCAATGGATCAATAGTACCAAAATGACCACTGTCGTTTATATTATAATGATTGAAACAAGTGTCCTGTAAAGTTTCATTTGATTGTTCCCATATTTTCTGATATTTACTTTTTGAATACTGAACATCTGTGTTATACTGATCACGTGGAATCTGATCTACTGGAAGTTTCTGATTTGTGCTGCAATTATTGAATGCAGATGAAAATGCTTGATTGTAACGGTAGTGATGAGTAAACTCGTCGTAGGGAAATTTATAGCCTGAGTTTAAAAGGAAATCTGCGGACAGAGTTGTTCTGTTCAAAGGATTGTTAAACGATGTTGATGATGGACTACAACACGAAGATGAGACAGTGGAACAAGATGTACATATTGTAGCTGTTGACACCATTGGAGTACTTTTTGATCTTATAGTTGAAAATGAACCGTATGCATCTTCATTGTTGAATGTGGTTGTCTTCATTATGGATGAGGAATATGCGAATGATAATGTGCATGGTGTATTAGTTTTATTCAATTCAGACATAGTGTTCAACTCGCAAAATGCCTCATTGTTCATTAATTCATGAACTTGGTGAACTAATGGAAAAATCAAGTAAATTCAATATGCATGGTTCATGACATAAAACATACGAAGTCTATTCAGCAAACATATTCATTGCCAGTCAATTATAGACAAGCAGTATTCATCTGCTATATAGGAGTTACCAGCAAAAGGATACAAGATGTGTTGCTTCCAATTCGGGAGTTATCAGTCAATACATACGATTTGAATAGTAGTACATCCTTTACCATCATTGGTTAGTCTTCGTACATAATTGTTAGCTGACTGGTTTACTGTCTAAATTTGTCTGTATGGTGTACAGTTTTCAGTCTTCAAGGAAGCATACTAGATTCTTTACGATTGCAAGCGCAATTTGATGGTGATCGTCTACAATCATGAAGTCTGAGCCCTGCTGATAGGCTCCAACAACCAAGAAAGACCATGGACTAGAGAAGTGTATCAGCGTCACTGTTCGATGACCAGTTTTGATACAATGAAAAGTGTTACTCAAACACTCATTGAGTATAAGCGTAAGGAAGATTATTGGCCGGTTACTTCGGCCTAATTTTAGATCCTTTAAGTGCACACCTACACGATTTCTGCCCAGATAAAAGATTAGTTATTAAACAAAGTAATATATAGATAGCTCACATTACACGTTTAAAAATGTTTTCGACTGATGCTGATTTAAACTGACAATAAACTATCTTCTCAATACAGAGTGAAGTTTGTTGAACATTTTCTCTAAACTTCAGCATCACACACAGGAATTCCACATTAATTGTGGGTCACTTTAATTTGAGAGAAATTGGTTTTCCAATTTACATTGATTACGGTGAAAGCCGTCATGATAATAAAAAATTCGCAGTCTTTGAACCCTAACAAACCACCATATGAGTCGTTTGTCACTCCTATAGTCACCTAAGTAATCTAGGACAATAGCATCATATATATATATATATATATATATATATATATATATATACACTGTTTAACAATAAGTTACGGTGCACGATGCTATATTTTAGTCTTGTTATTTTAGAAAAAGGAACCAAATTCAGAGACTGTACTACCCATCATTTTTCTGATACTGACTATTTGTTTCCTACAAGGACTCATGAATGTGTAAGACAATGATTTACCATGCTGTATAAAGTGTCAGAAGTTTGAATTTTTCCATTCTTCTAGTAATGGAGTTGTGGCTCACTAGTTCAGAGGGTTGACTTACAACTAGTGAGTTATAGGTTACAGCGGTGCTGAACCTACCGAGGTTTGGGCAGCAAGGTAGTAGTATCATTAGCCCTCAAACAATAGGCATGGCTCATTGCCCACTGTACGAACATGAATGTAGTTTCTGAGCGGATTTCGATACTTTTCGGTATTTTTAGCATATATTTAACTGGTGTCTATTAGTAACTGGAAATATCCTTCTTATTTACTAAGTTTTTAAGTAGGTGCGAATACTTTTCTTTTATTCATATTCCAGATAACCAGTAAGGAATAAGAACAATTACTGAAAATCAACTTACTTAACAGGGAAGAATATTTTTCACTCACAATAACTAGTTTGAGAATACGGAACAGTGGATTTTAAAAAACTCAGACGTTTGGAGACAACTGCAAAAAATAATAATGATCCTGTAAACTCTGAACCCACGTCATTCAACAATACGGAAGGTAACTCCATCAGTGACCATCTTGTCTACTCAGTTCAGTTATACAATTCTTCCTAAGTGAGATTTCAAGTAATGGAAATTCTTATCTTCGAGAAATCATTGGTTTTGCCAGTTTTTCAGATAGAGTTTGCCGATGGGTACTTAGAAATATGAGATCTCGATGAACAGCCTCCTTACAATTCCAGACAAACTCTCAGCATTGACTACATCGAAGTATGATATCAAATGGTCAATTACTCGGGTAATTGTTTCGTTCTCTGACCGAAAGAATTTGATTAACATTGAATTTCCGTTACCATTCTCGCAATGGAGATTTTTTTTTTGATTTACTTTAGAAGAAAAAGAACTGCATAAAAGAGATAGGGATATTTATTGAAACTTGTAATACGCCGTTGTTATACAGGATAGAATTGATGAGTCTCTGTCGGCATACAGACTTCTGTGCAGATACCTGGATATTGTCTGCAGATTCTCTACGTTATTACTTGCTCAGTGATGACTAGCACTGGAATCCAGGACACGGGTTTCTTCCTGTTTCGGTGTCCTCAGTTAGATGTACTTGCATTGTGGTAATTGTGTACTTTATGACTCGTTAGCCTAGTGGATAACGTTTTGGTTTTGGAATTGGTGAGTGGTGAGTTCAAGTCTTTCTGATAACACTAGGATTCAGGTACATTATCTGGTGGGTCACAAATAAGACGAAATTCGTATCCTGGATCCAAATGCTAGCTACCATCAAGTAAATTGCTATATAGTGACAGTTTGTAGGTGATAAATGAAGTTGCTTGAAGAACTAGGGCATGACAGAGTTCGGATTAGCACCCTTTCAATTCTAACGCAGTTGAAGTTTTTCTTTGGGTTGAATCATCATTCACGTATGTAAAGTTCTGTCTATCAGTCAAATGTGTTTCACGTGGTCTCATTATTGATCATAACTAATTGTTGAGTGTAACGAAAAGGAAAGTGATTATCCTACGACATTTTATAAAATCTAGTTAAAATACTTTTCCTTATATGGGGAACTGACTAGATTTGCAAGCAGGTTTTGTTATCTGACTGACACTGTTCATTCAATCTTATTTTCAGTTTCATTGACAGTAAATAATCACTTAAATTTAATATCAGGACATTTAAACTAGTCAGTGTTCAGTCATCGTGAGATGACTAAGCGATCTACACATAAAACTTCAGTCAGTTCATGAAACAGCATGAAAATCATTCCATGTAACCAAGAGAATTCTGTCAGTCGCTGGATCCACAGATGGCATCTGTAAACACTAATCAGGAATGTAAAGGATTCGACCACCAAAGAGGAACTTATGTACTCAGTAGGCAAACCTATGAACATGGTAAAACTTTTCATCTCGAGTCAAGTTTACAGTAATTGAGACATGATGCCAGACAGCTGAATAATTTTTCGGTTATTGTGACTTGTCAAAAACACTTCATTTACATTGAAAGGAAACTCTAAAATTGGTGCATGGATAAAATAAATATCATTGCACTCAGTAGTAAATATTAGTATTCGATGTGCTTTCCTACATACTAAAATAGTGAGTAGATGCACAAAGTTGGTAAGGTTTACATGATGGGTTTTAGTGTTTTCAGGCTGCTTAGTCTCAACAGTCAGAAACCTAGGTGAAGTGCGATGACCTGGTCATCTCCTAAGACCATGTAATACCAATCATAACATGTTTTAACTTTGTGTGAATGTTTTTTATTTAGCTAACAGAATTAACTAAAAAAGGTGTTCAGGCCTAAACAACAGACTGACGAATTACTGTAAGGATGGCAGTGGGTTTTAACACCATTGCATACCACTTATCCTCAACTCAGTTTATACGATGGCAGCATCATATAAATTGTAGAATGTACAATAAATTTCCAAACTCGAGAAAAGGTTTCATCACACTATGACAGTAGCTATAAGAGGATAAATAACCAGGAATCACTAGAAACCTCTCCAGTCCCAGTTAAAGCTCTTCAACAGTGTTGAACCAAGACCCTGAGAAAGGTGAAGCTGATGAGAGGAACGTTTCTTGACAAGCATGCTCCCACTAAGCTATGAAGTCGGAAATTCTTTCGTACCAGTCATTCCCAACAAAAACTGTGAACAGATTAAAATCCAGTTGGTCACAATTAAAGATGCAAATCTCCTCAAGATATGGTCGAAATATATTCTTTGTAAAGTTAATTAAATTACTTTCGTATACAGCAAAAATGGTAAGCGATGTTAGCGACGGGAGTTCAAGGTTATACCAAATAAAAAGTAAGTAGCTCGTCCACGACTTAGAGTTACGCCTACCAGGTTACCATTCATATAATGTTTAATACTATTGCCTGGAAACTCAAACCTTGGTAAGTGAAGAGTGTTCGAGCTTGTGACCCGATAACTGACAGTCTACCGCCCAGACCAATGATCCATACCCCCACAGACGTCAAAACTTGAACGAATTCGTGAAATTTTGACTAAGATACTCCTGCTTACGTACTTTTTTTAACTGGGTGGTCAGGCTTTCAAAATCTGTCCTACCGAGGTCTGATCTGACTGTTTAGAACAATGACTTTCATTTTTTTGTGAGATATTGAAATGTTTTCCCCCAGTTGGTCATGGGTATTCTACCTTAAAAGGGACAGTGCTGCTTAACGGGGTCCCTGAAACACCAGATTGCAAGGCAGATTGTCTTAAAACTAGCATGAACCAGCCTTTGTTGAAAGCAGTCTCATCCAGTAAGTCAGCAACCGTTTATTCTACTCCTTCTTGCCACCACTTACCTTTAAGCAATTGCATTCTCTCTCAGTCAGCTACCTGGTAGACCAAATTTTCCATTCCTAATGATTTTAACCCAGTTTCGCTGTAAACTCAACTAACTAAAGTTGGTCAGTATTGAAAGTTGCATTCTGAAAGAGTCAGTTAGCAAGTTGGCTACTTATTGTGCGAACAAATTTATGCATCAGATAACAGAGGTATGAAATGAATGCTGTACATATTACCATTAGACAAAAATGAGTATTCCAGTTCCACTGACACGCTTCCGAACGTCGAAGATTTTTAATTAGATCAGTATGCATTCAGTGGTGGATAATTGCTATGGTGATTACGTCATGACTAAAGTAAGTTGAGAGGATAAGACCACATGTCGTCTGTGTTCTAATGATATTGCCTTCTTGATGTGGTGACACTTCATACTGATAACTGACAAGGATTAGCTACTGGTAACTCCATATGGCACTGAAGAATTTGAAGCAGTTACATCTGAATTACCAGCTCTGTATCCTACCGGCTAATTCATAGTGTCCAACAACCAATCAGATACTCCTTCTGTATTTTAGCTTAATTTAGACAGAGACAACGATAACTGTCCCGGAAGTTACCATGGTAGTAATGAGTGATCAAATAAGTATCATTCATTCATGGTGGCCGGGATAAACACTTGGCGATCGAATTAAGACGGGATGAGCATTTATGACTTCCAGCTCATTTTCTAAACCATTAGACTGAATGCTGGTTCACATCATCTTTTCATCAACTCCAATCAGGATCACTACTGCTAACTTTACTGACAATTAGATTTCCTCATGAAGGTATGCATTCTAGTTGTACAATATGATAATGAGACTTCCATAATTGTGAAAATCAAACTTGAAAATTATCAACCTTTCTGAGATAAATGAGTTAAACAAAAATATAATATATCTAAAAATACTTTAAGTAACTTACCGTCTTCAGATGATGGATTATGATTATTACTAAGATTAGCGTTATTCATCACAACAACAAAAGATGGAAAATGACTTCACCTACGAAGAGAGAAGGGAATTGTGAAGTAAATTTCCTCAATAATTTTCAACAACTATCTTCAGAGATAAACTGAAAAGTGAATAGAAATCAGCGGAGGAATGAAGATTTATTGTTTGGTTTTTGTTCGGTTGTATTTTGGTCCAACGGAAATACTACTCCTATTACTATTATTATCATTATTGTTACTATTCTAACTACTCCCATATTTCTTACAGCTCAAGAAGAATTGACCAATCATTTCATCTGACAGTTAACCCAACAACAGAAGAGCGTATTCCTCATCTGATTGGTTACAGCCAAAGGTTCGAGTAAGCAGACAAAGATAGAGGGGAGTAAGATGAGTCTTTCAAACCAGAACACCCTTCTACCTTTCAGAATTGAGAAGTGACCAATACCAGTTTGCCATTATTCGTAAACCCCTGTCGATTTATGCTCATGTCTAACAGGAGGATGTTTTTCTACTCTCATCCAAGTAGCTGATAATATGGAAAGTGAGTGAGAGAATGGAAGAATCCATTTTAAGTTCATGTATATGCACACATAGTCACAATGACAAACAAACACGGAGAGTAAACGAGATACATTATGCCTGCCTAGACATTATGCTGATCGATATTTTTCTTTGCCATGAACAAGAATTCTTTTGTAAAAAAAACATCTTTCCAATATGTCTGGAATCTTTTTTCTCATCTTGAACGGACACTGTTTCGGGAAGTTTTCGAAAGCCTACTGTAGTGTACGAACGCCAGCGGAGAGTATCTCAGTTTTCAATTCTTTTGCATTTGTTTAAGTTGGTTTTTTATGAAACCAGATTGCCAAACAAGTAATGATCAGATTTTCTATGAGATTCATTTGCACTATACCTGGCTACGGTAGATGATACGGGAATCAGTACACAAGGAAGTAGTATCCAGCATTTTACAATTTCAACGTATTTGTAACACCAAACTACTGGATTAGGAAAAACCGTCGGCTGAACTGCTTATATGAACTTAATTGGTAACCAACATGCGAAAGATCAACTCCTTGAGGCTATTCTGAAAAGTTGTAGCTATTTTGTGTGTTAATTGCCTCAGCAGCTATCGTGACTTAATATCAGAAGTTAGCTAGGTATGGAGATAATGCTGATTACTGGACTCTGAATTACTATCTCAACAGTAGATAGCGCTCAGGTTGACTACTGTGTGTCAGGCATGGATACTACTCACACACCTGGACAGATCATACTGGATGGAGTACAGTAAGGATGAAAGAAACCTCATCAGTGACATAGGCGGAAACGCTGCCTATGAATAAATTCTCGCAAGGTTAGTGTCAGTCATATGAAGATCTGTAGACTTCTCATTTGGGGCCCGTGATGAGGGAGAGTTTTAAGCTTGAAGACATCTGGTAATAATCCCAGGGATCAGTCACAGTGACAGAGATATAACTACAGCTTCCACTAAGTTTTTAGCGTTGCTCTTCGTAAAGTTGTCTTCCATCTACCTATGCATTCCTTGCAGTTGAAATGAACGTTTTTTTGTTTTCTGTTGATTACTAAATCATGTATTGCTGAAAAATGTGGTGATCTGAACCAATTTACCTCTGGCTCAAGTTTTTCTGTTGGGTTGATAATGAATACTTTATAAGTGAATGATCTGGTAAACAACTTTTATTTGTCAGCAACATGATATGAGGAAGGATGATCTTTGGTGACTACTAATAGTGGTCGTACTATATCACAAATCGACGGAAGTAGAATTCAAACCAAGTACTGATCGGTGAAACACTTGCCAAGAGATATAATGGTCTAGCTGTCGACTTTGTATGTGGTTATGGCTTCCATCCTACTGAAACAGAGTGATTACTAAGCTAAGCTAACCGAGAGTTTCAAGATGACGTTTCATCACAAAATACTATTCGCTCAGTAATGGCTGATAACCAAATGAGTACTAGAAAACAGTTTCGTCCTAGCTTAGAACTCTTCAGCATTGTCTATTACTGGATTTGTGATAATTAAAGGCTAGAGATTTTTAAGTCATACTAAAAATGGTTTACTTTTCGACAACTGAGTCAAAGTGCAGTGAAAATCATTCTTTGACTTAATAAAACAGAGTATATCATAATTGTCTCTTATCTGTCATTCATTCATTGACCTTCAGCTCCGTCTCCTTATAGATGACGTCATCAAACCCAACAGTTTCCTGTAGGAACTAGCGAAAATTTACTATCTTAGGGGGTTAATCAAAGACCGATGCATCATTAAGTCATTGATTTTAACAACAGTATTATTTTCAACGCGATTCTTATCATCTCTTGAATAAATACTGAAACACCAGCAGCACCGAACCATTGCTAGAGCTGGAATAGTTTCATCACTGGCTCCCAGTGAAATGGTTTCAAGATCATTTGGTCATCATGAGAGTTGGATACCTTTAATCTGTTCACATCAGTCATAAAAGCTGGTTGCTGCTAGAAAGTCGCAGGTCAAGACGGGAAATCCCTCTAGTATCCCCAGTTCTCAGTGGTTCTTAAATTTATATCAACTTGTACTGGAGATTACTATGAAATAAGTCAACGAAAAATATGCACATAGTTTTTGTTCAGTTTAAACAAAGTGGTTAACCTTGAAGCATCTCAGGTCTCAATTATAATGCTGTTTAGTTTTAGCCCTTGACCTTGAAGAAAAGTGACATAATGGTTTAATGAAGCCATTGCAAATCTGCTGGTTAGTTAGCATACACCATTAAATATCAGCATGCAAGTGAGATATACAGAAAGTTGTGATTTTTCATAACCCCTCAATTACAGATATTCTGAATGAATTGTAAGATGAATGCGATTCTGACTGTTTTACGTTCTATTATGAGAAGAGACTCAAATAAGTTACCTTTACAGACACTAGGGCATAGAATAAAAACGTAGTTAAGAGTACATGATCACTAGAGCTGGTAAAAATCTATTTCACTTACGTAGTATATAAAAAAGTAGCAATCAATCCATTCTGCTGTTATTACAGCAAACCATTCAAGGTCATTCCTCCGGGTTCAGAGAACCAGCTCTTGAATTATTCTAAAAAATTATGATATGCATACGTGATTTTTTCATCAGCTTTACAAAGAATTTTTACCTTAGAAATATGGTTGTTGTCAATTATTAATTTACTTACAAGATGTAAAATACCTATTTATTCATAAAGAAAAGATATTCAGTTTGGTCGCTTGTGGGGATTTATTTATTTATTTATTTCAGGTTGGTATTGATCATGGACTGACATCATTTGGAGAAACATTAGGAACCTGGGAGCACTGAACTACCGCTTCGTCTTAGCATGAAAACCCTCAGCATCGCATACCCACGGTCTCACTGGGGATCGCACCAAGGACTTTCAGGTCCCATGGTCAGCACGTTACCACTGAGCCACTGAATTGGAGCCCAACAGTCCACATTCTCCTACTTCTGTCAGTTCGCGATATGGCATGACCTCCATCTAATACCATCGTTGAGTAACTGCCTTCACACCCTACCCGGTTTACCAAACCGGTCACGACTTTTTATTATCACTTCGGGAATCTAGTCTAGTCTCTAGTCACTGATGAGCACTGCAGATAATTCATCGAAGAAAATTCTCTTTTCTAACGATATCATTTTCTAAAGCTGTACAATTACATTTATAAATATATCAAAAATATATAACAGTCTATTATTGAACAATATTGTATAGTTATATCATTAGGCCAGCTAGTGTTAAAACTGAACTGAAGAGTGGAAAGGATTAGTGTTATAATCTATTAGATATTGCAAATAGTGAGAATGACAAGGACTTTGAAAAAATAGGAATAATTGGTAAATATGAAGTGAGAAGATTGAGTGTCAATTTGATAGATGCAAAGGTGAAGAAAGAAATCAGCGTCATAATGATTATTATTATTATTTTTTTATTATTAGTCCCATGGGTTCCTAGTGGAACATAGGGCTTCAGTAGCACGTCTCCATACCACACTGTTCTCTGAAATCTTTTCAACCTGGCTCCACGACAGCCCAGAAGCTCTCATTTCCTCCTCACACGATCTCCTCCATGTCACCCTCACCTCGGACACCCAACTCGTCGCTTCCCATCCAGGTTCCACTCGAGGCTCTGGCCTGACGCGTGATGTCCCCAGTCGGCCTTCTCAGTGTATGCCCAATCCAATCCATCTCCACTTCCTCCTGCATATTTGTTGGGTGATAGGTTCTTGGTTGGTTCGTTCCCAGAGCTCCTTGTTGCTCATTATTTCTGACCATCTGAGCTTCAGTAACGAGCCAGCGTAGGCAGATGTTGATGAATGTCTGTAGTTGTTTGTTGGAAATCCCTTTCGTAAAGCTCCAAGACTCTCAACCATACAGAAGCACTGACTTACTTGACGTTGGTGTTGAAAATCCGCATCTTGTTCCACATGCTGAGTGGAGTGCAGAAGATCTCCCTCCACACTGGTTTCAGGCTAATGAACGCCTGTCTTGCTTCTCCGATCCTGACTGGCTTTGACATCCTCGTCTGTGCCCATGCTGCCTGTAGTTGAGACAGTGCTGCCTAGATAGGTGGAAGAGGCTAATTCCTTTAAGTTCCTCCCGTTCATGGTGACTGGTGCTTGTTGTTGTTGTCGGTTGTTCGTGTCGGTTGGGTATCTTCATCACCTCTGTCTTCCCTATATTCACTTGAAGTCCCGTCCTCGCTACCCTACCCTGCCCTGCCCTGCCTCTTCTGTCAACTTGTTTGTTTTCGCCTGTAGATCTTCAAGTGTGTATGACATTAGACATAGGTCATCGGCGAAATCCAAATCTTCTAGGTTCTGTTCCGTGGTCTAGCCAGCATGTCCCCCTCTTCTCGCTCCTCACTGTTTGTTGCATGATCAAGTCCAGTCGACCACAATCAGGAATATCATAGGTGATAGTAGGCAGCTTTGTTTTACTCCTTCCTATCTTCACTTCAAAAGAATCACTGACCTTCCC